TTTACCTCCATTTCTTCCTTCATCTTTCAACCCTTGGTTCCTTGGTTCCTTGGTTCCTTGGTTCCTTGGTTCCTTGGTTCCTTGGTTCCTTGGTTCCTTGGTTCCTACAATTTATTCTCGTATTTTTTTCTGCCAGGATAAAAAGACGCCATTACACATGGGTGCCGAGAGTGGCTTTGCAGATGTTTGCAGCTTGCTTCTTAGTCTTGGTGCAGACGCTAACTCTTCAGACTCGGTAAGACTACTGAAAACATTAAAACAAGGATCAGTGAAAACAACCAAATATTTGTCTCTTCAAAACTAATTTATGCTGAATTGATGTACATTTTTTACGCTTACAGAAAGGAATGATACCCGTTCACTATGCGGCAGTCAAAGACAGAGAAGAGGTCGTGGAAATCTTTTACAAAAATCGCCCAGAGACGATGACGCAGCCTAATGATGTAAGAGCCATTTATTAGCAACCAAGAGCGTGACAGTTGAAGTCGTTTCGGCGGAATGGGTTGCCATTTCAGACCAAATGTCTTTATTTTGTGATAAGTTTCGTTTTTAAGCGTTCTGATAAATAACAAAATCAACAACAACAACAACAACAACAAGAATAACACTTTATCGTACCTAGAATTACGACTACGATAAATATTTACAAAATATGATGATTAATTTAAAAGAATAAAAGCAAAAAGAAAGAAATAATGAAAATGACAAATGTTTTGAATTGGGGAAAACATTAGGCAACATTAAAAATTAAACATGTTTTGAATTGGGTAAACATTAGGCCAATGGTTACGTGGTAATTCACTCAGTTTTTATAGATGTATTTTAACATGCTTTTGCACTCTGTCTTTTCAGGATGGCCTAACAGTGATGCTACTAGCTTCCAGGGAAGGAAGCATCAATGTCATCAAGAAACTGGTCTCACTAAATTTTTCCAGCTGCTCCACAGAAAAGGTAGCATTACTGTGACTGTATGGCAAATTTGAAAATTAAGTGCTTTGTCTTAATTCTCCTCCTCTTCCTCCTGCTCCTGACTTGCAATTCTACCAATTTTTCTCTCTCTTGTGCCTTACATTTTTTTCTTGACGCAAAGGCTGTTCTCTCAAGACCACTGTTAATGGCTGCACGTGCCGGACACACTGAAGTTGTCGAATTTCTGCTTCGAAGTGGTGCATCAGCCACCGAGGAAGACAAGGTACGTCATCAGCATAGCTAGTCTCTAGGATTCCACGTAACTACACTATATATAGCCACCTTTGCTGCCTCTCTCCAATGCGTCCCGTTTTCGAGCCCTGGCGGGCTTGGTGTCGTATGTGAGTAGAGTTGTTTGTTGGTTCTCTCCTGTACTTCGAGAATTTCAAGTAAAAATCAACTTCTAAATTCTAATTTGATCTATTGGCTTTCTTATCAATTGAGTTGCCACCTGTTAGGCAATAAGCCGTCCACTGCACCACGAATGGTAAACGCATTAATTAGCCCTTTTTTAAATTTCCACGATACTGTCGCGTCACGATGTCACAAAACATGCCTTCAGTGACTCATTGTCAATGGTAGAGCTGCCCAGGCAAGTATCATGGTATGTGTTTATTATCCTGATGTTATTCTTTTGAATCCAGGACGGTATGAGTGTCATGCTGCTTGGTGCAAAGTTTGGACAGATGAAGGTGGTGGACATGCTGTGGGGTAAAGTGGCAATCGATCGACCGAGTTCTAAGGTAAAAACATACCATATACCATATTTCTAACTATTCATTATGTTTAAAATCTTAAATTTTTGATGCCTCGTTTTTAGACCGGTTTAACTCCTGTGCACGTGGCTTCGTTGTACGGTCAGACAGAAGTTCTACAGGAATTGCTTTCAAGATCCAGCGCATCGGGGTCTTTCGTCAGTGCGGTAAGTAGATATGTATGAGTGTATCTCTTTAAATAAACCATCACACTTAACCGACATTCAGTTTCTGTTAGCCACAATAAAGGCACTTCGGTCTTCCTTGACTGACACCTTGAATCAATTATGAATTAATTTCCTTACCCGATTGACCTCACAAAAACAATTTATTACCATAAACTAGACGTTGTATCCTTATCAGTCTATTGAGGCTTTGCACCATCACGTGATGGCAGCAACGAAAGGAGGCACAACAACAGTCTTTTTCCAAGTGAAAAATGAAGTCTTTCTCATGTAAATCAGATTAGAACATATTAAATTGTTCCTGCCACCTGTCATGGCTGCCATCACGTGATGGTGGAAAGCATCTATAGTAACTCTTTCGTCGATGGAATAATACTCACACTGTTTTGCCATAATCAGCGTACATTTTTGAAGCATTGTCTTTTTCATAACATATACAATTTCTTTCCATAAACCTGAAGGCGTTTCCTTATTCTATAGTAGTATAGCATCCTTATT